ATCCGTTAAAGTTTTATAGGCCCCCAAGTATTGCAGGTACTGGGAGTAATAGGTAAGTTAGTAGCGCTTGAAAGAAATATACCAAAATGTATATTCTCTAGGAGTGTGATTCTAAATGGTTGACTTTCTCTTCTTGGCTGACCATACTTTCTAGTTTTCCACAATACCTGTGTATAATAAATAGCAATAAAATCAAGTTCATATAGGACCACCTACATGCTGGCATGTTCTAAGCACTGTATGGTGTTAAATCATTGAATGGCCTCCACACCCCAATGAAGCGGGGACTATTACCACATGCAGGGCGAGGGGACGTACCCCAGGAGCCTCTGAGCCCTGGTGCCCCCACAGCACCTGTCACCATAGGGCAAAGTCGGCTTCTGCTGCTGGGTGACACTGGGACCCTGCCAGTGTGCACAGCTCACGCACCTCTGCAGCAGCGGCTCCAGCCACCCTTCGTGGCACTCACAGTGGCAGTCCAGGAAGGTCAGCACTTGGCCCTTTGCCACGGAAGCCCCCAGCAGCCGGGCTCGCACCAGGCCCTCCCTCTTGGTGGCACGGATCAGGCGCACTCTGGGCAGCTCGGCCAGCTCGCCGGCCAGGCGCTCCTTCAGGTGCTCTGGGGAGGCAAGTGGGACAGCGAGGTCACTGCCACACATCCCAAACCATGTCCTTCCAGGGCCTCCCTGTCCCAAAAGGGAGACTAAATAAACACTAGCCTCCTTTGCTTTGCACCTGGGATGTTCTTGTCTCGCCCAGAAACAAGGCTGGAAGCACACCAAAGGCCAGAGGAGCAATTCTAGAACCACCAAATGCTCCCTACTGAAACATGCACATTGAATCATATGCTTGAAATGGGTGAATGTGGTATGTGGATGTATCTCAACAAAGCTGTTACCCCTGAAGAACGAATTGTACCTTGCCTTGTGAATATTTAAAAATAAAAAAACACAAGAACTGCCTGACCACAACTTTTCTGAAAAATAATGTTTATCAATTGTTAATTTATGTTAGTTATGCAGTATGTTTTTAATTGATAGGGAGCTATTAACATAAATTTTATTTATAATACAAATATGTTAATGTAAATATTCTTTGGAGCACATTTCAGTTGACACAGTAGTAGTAACACTAGAAGGCCTACTGTGCCAGTTACTGTCTAGGTGACAGACATATAACTCATGTGAGTCTTATAACAGTTCTATGAAGTAGGATGACTACTATCCCCATTTCACAGATGAGAACACTGAGGCCAGAGAGGCTAAGTAATGTGCCAAGGCTCCAAAGCAAGACAGCAGAGGAGCTAAAATTTTAAGCTGGGGACTCTGGCTTCAATGTACAAGCTTAACACTCCTTCTGGACATTTCTCGTACTTTCTCATCCTCGTTAAATCCCAAACTGTCACAAGAACATGCTCATTCCATTTTGCACGACAGTAAATGACTCCTTATTAAATTTGAAAGGCTGTGCCCACAGCTAAGGCTGGCCCCAGGTCTCCCAACTCCACACCCAGGTCCTGTGACTGGAGGCCCCAATTCACACCCCACAGTGAGTCAGGTGGAGTCAGGTGGGAGCCGCTCAGGCAAAATAAAAATGAAATTCCCCACATTAGGGGCTTTGTCTACAAGTCCTCAATCAGCAGCAAAGGGGAAGCTTTTGTGAATGTTCAAGGTTGCTTCCTAGTTTGTGACAATGTCTCCCTAAACAGTCTTCTCTCTCTCTCTCTCTCTCTCTCTCGCATACACACACACAAATACACAAACATTCATTGGTTGATTTTTTTTTCAATCCTAAATGTAACTGCGAATAAGCTGACAACAGGAATAAGGGAGGTGACTTCCCAAGCAAAGCTAATAAGTGGCGGTGTCCAGTGAATACATAACAAAAATACAGGCGGCCCCTCCCTACATGCATGGATTTAGTCAGTGTTACCTTCAGGAAGACCTGAACTGTCTTCCACACCCTGGGAGGGGCTGACATCCCTTCATGGAGCTCAGACAAACGCTGCAGAGGACAGGGGACAGGGGACAGGGCAGGGCAGTACTCCTTATCTGCATCACCAGTAGAGCAGGCATCTCACCTGCTGTGCAAGTTATCTGGACAGGGAGGGGAAGCCTTGGCCCCACTGCACATTACATTTATATTTATAAAGAACTGAGCTGGTTCAAATGGGCTCATACCTAGTCCTGCCTGTGGAGGAGCTATTTAAAGGCACCTTACCATTTTTAAAATTTCCTAAAAATAGAAGTTACCACTTAACAGGCACTAACAATATACAGGCACTGACCTAGCAGGTACCTGCCCTTATCTTGTTTAAGCCTCACAATGACACTATGAGGTAAGAACTACTAATATCCCATTTTACAGGGGCTGAACCTAAGGCTGGAACTGGTTAAGCTCCTCGCTCAATATAGCTGCAAAGTGTTGGAGCAGGATTCAAGCCCAGAAGCAGTGTATACACAGACAGATTTAAAACAACCCTGGGTGGAAAAGATTAAAAGAAATGGTGCTGAGTACCTACTAAGTGCTGGCTGACATGAGATTTTGTCCTATACATGATCTCATTTATTCCTCACCACTTTCTAAGTGTGGATAAACCCATCCACAGATAAGAAACCGAGGCTCAGAAAAGACAAGTGACTTGTTCAAGGTGCCATGATGGGTTGTGGTAAATGTCCCTCAGACCCAGGTGCCCTGACCCCAGAACTCAGTGCCTAGGTGGCTACACTCAGCATCACACCCCACCCTGGCTCGCATACTGTCAGGTGAACCCTAACACCCACTCTCCCAGTGACTCTCAGCTTAGTGCAAGGCCACCACCACAAGGACTACAGTTCCCAGCCTCCTTTGCAAGTGCGGCCAGGTGACCATGTGCTACTCAATGGGGTGTGAGGGCAACTGCCAGGTGTGGCCCCACCCTGAAACCCTTGTGCAGAGAGTGAGTAGGAGGTAGAGAACCAGCCTGGGGCATGCAGACCAAGGCAGTGTGCTTGAGAAGGCAGAGACTCAGGGCGGAAGCCATGTGGAGCACACCCTCAAGAAGGTGGAGACTCAGGATAGAAGAAGCTGGGGCCTTGACATGAACCTACTCCATCAACCGGCACTATTAGGCCTGATTTGTGATGTGTGGGAGGTCAATTTTTACAGCATGTGAATCATTGCTATTTTGAGTCTCTGTGGCAATAGCCAAACGCACCCAACAATCAGGACACTCACACACCAGGCTTTGCAGTCACAGACCAGGCTCAGAGCCCAAAGAGCAGGTGCCAGTAAGCTGCTCCGCTACACTAATGGGTGGCCCAGAGATGGTCATCTGGTTTGAAATGGGCTCCAGTCAACTAAGCCCACAGCTCTCCCTGTTGCTATGGCCTTGACATTTCCTTCAGTTAAGCTTAGCTGCCCAGGCTTCCGGTAGTCATGACCATGTGCGGCACATGGCAGGACCACAGCAACCACTACAACCCTCCTAGCTTCCATCCTCACCTCCACTGCCCCCATGAGCCATGCTCCTGCCAGCAGCACAGGGAACTTGCCAGACTTAGCAATCTTTCTGCTCCCCCAACAGACCCGGGGCAGCTCCCATCAGGCTTACAGTTAAGCCTAAACCCCTCACGGTGAGCTCCAAGGCCCTCCTGATCTGGCCCTGCCCACCCTGCCACCTCATCTCCCAGGACACCTTCCCACCGGCCGACAGGCTGTCCTGGAGGATAGCATGCTCGTTTCGCTTCTGCACTGCTGCTGCTGGGCCCAGGCCACTCTCCCTGAGGCCTTCACTGGGCCGCCTTCTCCTCCACATTCTAGCTCTTGGCTTAAGAGACACCTCCTCAGAGAGGCCTTCCTGCCCTTCACAGCTAGAGCAGGCTCTGTCTCCAAGCTTCCCTGGCTCTCCTGCTCCCATTCCCGTTTCACAGCACTTTCTATGTTTTACTGTATTTGCTATATTACATTATTATATTATGCTATGTATGCTATATTGTGTTTTGTTGTACTATGTGATGTATACATTGCATTATTCTTTACATGTTCGTTGATAATCTCCACCCACCAGAATGTGAGTTTTATGAGAGCAGGGACTTGTCTTGTTTCCCAGTGCCTAGAACAGTGCCTGGCACACAGTAGAAACTCAAAAAATGTTCACTGAATAATTAAAGGACCATCCCTGGACTGTGTGTGCACTGCTGGATCCCAGGTCACTGATTAGGCCTGTGGGCACCTCTCCCTGGCTTCAGTTCTTCTCCCATATAGGCTGCCCCTTTTTGATCTCATTGCAAACACAGCATGGCCAAAGCCAAGCATGCCACCTTCCTCTCCCACACCTGTTCCCCACTGCCCTGGGTGGCTTTTCCAGCTCTGGAACAGCACCACCACCTACCCAGAGACCCAACCCAGAAGCCCACAGGTCCTGCTGGAGCCTCAGCCAGCCTCTGGCCCTGTGGATGCCTGTCAACACCCCTTTCCTCACTTCACCTCTCCTTCCCCCCAATACCACCTGACTCCAAGCATCCATCTCTCACCTAGGCCACCTTTAGAGCCTCCTGGCCTCCTGAAGAGCTCCCCTGTGCTCTCTTCCAGAGGGATCCCCCAATAGGGAGCCCTCCCTCCACGACTGCTACCTGCAAACTACACAACTTCAAGACTAAGGCCAACCCCTCTCCTGAGCACTCTGCCTCCGCCCTCTGTCATCACAGGGAGCCCTGTGTGTCCCTGCCAGGCCCTGAGCTCCCTGAGGGTCACGGCCAGAAACAATGCATGAAGCCTATCCTTACCAGCCCTATGCCACCTGTCCCACGTCGCATTCTCTCCTCCCAGGCACTGCCATGGAAAGCCAGGTTCCTCCACGAGCCTTTGTTTGAGGCTTACCTCGATCGCTGTAGTCATCTACCAGGATGACCTCTTCGAGCAGGATGTCTGGAGATGTCTCAAGGACGCTGTAAACTGTCCGAAGGAGAGTTGACCAGGCTTCATTATAAAATGCTATGATAACTGATGTCGTGGGCAAATGATCATAATCGTATTTCTTCTCTTTGCACCTGCAAATACAACAAAACTTCAGGAACAGAGAAACCACCAGGCCCAGGATGGTGCTGGGAATGGAACAACAAGAGATGCAGGTCACAGATCTAAGGTCTCCCCCTGGGGAACAAGAAAGATATCAAAGAATCTGTGAAGGTATTTTAAAACCACCACACATGCACATAATGCCACAAAAATGACAGTGTGTGACTTCCAAGACCATGTCACAAGACACTGAGGTTTCCTCTTTGTTCCCCGCCATGGCCATCCCCTCTGTGGTGAGGTATGGAGGCCTCCAGCTGGCAGCCAGTACTGACTCTCTGGCATGGGCTGAATCTTCTCGAAAGCACATCCTCCCACTCTGGTCAAGCCTGGGGATGATGAAAGCCCCCAGGCAGCATTCTGACTACGATTTCATGAGAGATTCCCCAAGCCAGACCCACCCAGCTCAGACACTCCCAAATTCCTGATCCACAGGAATTATGTGAAATAACAAATGTTTATTGTTGTTTTAAATCACTAAGTTTTGTGGTAATACATACACTGAACTCAGGCCCGAACTAAGAGACATTTTATAAACCAACAGGCCTGAAATCTTTAAATATATTGGTGTCCTCAGAGACAAGGGCTGAGGAACTGGGTCAAACTGAAGGAAACTGAAGAGATATGACAACTAAATGTCACACATGGTTCTCTATTAGATACCAGGTCAGGAAGAAAAAAGTTGTTCTAAAAGTTGTGACAGCTGGAAAAATCCAATATTGTACAAATGAATTTGGTAAGTACATCATGGTATCATGAGAGAATGTCCTTGTCCCTAGAAAATACATGCTGAAATATAAAAGGGTAAAGGATTATATCTCTGTAACTTATTCCCAAATGTGCATGATATTACAGTATACACACAGGAAAAGTTGAATAAAGGGGACAGTGCAATTAATGGATCTAGGTAAAAGATACACAGGAGTTTGTGGTGCTATTCTTACAAATTTTCTTTCCGTCTGAATTTTTCCAAATTAGATATCTAATACAAAGAGAAAAACAAATTCAATGTTGCAAAAGGTGGAACCCAAACACCAAGGCGACTGTGATTTACAGTGTACCTCAGTCTGAAGGGCCCTGGCAAAGGTCCTCTCCCATCTCATCCCTTCCACTTCCACCAGATAGCTGCCCTCCTCCAAATATGTGTAACAGCAAATGGAAAACACATATATATATATGTATATATGTATAAAAATATTACATGTGCCTCTGGATTTAATAAGCCACTGAGGGCCAGACTAGGGTGCATAGAGAAGCTATGCAGTGCCACTAGAAGCTTCAGAATGAATGAATGGTTTATACTATAAGAAAAAAAGGTATTTGTGTGAAACCTAAAAATAATTTTTTTAAATCTTTTACAAAAAGGTGAGGCTAAAATTTAGCTCCAAATGTACACAGGTCCAAAGAGAAATGAATGGAAATAAGGACAGTGAAGTGAGGCTTTAAAAAATGAAGTTGATTCAATTTAAGAACTGTCCTTTAGTCTGAAATCATGCCTTTACTGTTTGGGATTAAAATGTATTTCTCCCCCTGATGAGAATAAGTAGGAGGGTGGGAGAAGCTCTGCTTGACCGAACAGAGTTGGGACCATGTGTCAGTCTGTCCTCAGGGCTTTTGTTTGAGTTTTCACTGCCCTGTGAACACCAAAAGTCAAGTTCGCTGTTCTCGAATGTCTATGTGGCTCTCTATGAAATCACAAGAATGGTGGGTACTGGTTTGGCAGTACATACTCAGAGCTTCAAAATGTTCCTTTTCTCTTTGATTCCATATCAATAAATCTAAGAAATTACTCACCTAAGGAAATAACCAGAGATACCTGAAGGAGGCTTGTTGTAAAAAGTTTTCTTTGTAATATTGTTTATAATTGCAAAAAGCTGTAAATAATTCCCATGTCCAACAAGAAACAGTTGAAGTATAGTGCAGCTGTATGAAGAAATGCTACATGGCCATCTGAAACTACATTTCCAGGGTAACTACACATTTCACAATAAAGGAGAATGACCACACTATACTGTTAGGTCAAGAAAGCAGGGTATAAATCTATAAATAGCATGATGGCTATTGTATAAACCACAATGTGTGTACGCTCTCACACATAATAAACAATAGAAAGAAATATGCCAAAAATGTTAACCATGGTGATCTCTGAGCAATGGGGTTATTGCTAATTCTTATCTCTATATTTTCCTACATTCTAAAATTGTTCTATAGTAAACATGCATCATTTTTATAATCACCAAGAAAGATTATTTCTTAAAAGCTGGATCATATTTCTTTAGTTCCCCAGAGTAAAGGCCTTCATTGAGCAATAATCTAATATTCGGCCCTCTCCTTTTTTTCTTGGCTTAGGATAGTTTCTCCTTTTCTCTTTAAAATATCCCTTAAAGGCATTCTCCTTCATGAAGTAAGTTCAATATATCTTTCTGGAATTCTGGAATGTCTCTAAAGTTTGCTTCCAGGAAAACATATTCCCCTTTTCCTATTTTTTAGCAATATTTAAAATAATCAGATTGCAAAACAAACTGATAAAAAAAATACACAATTCATTTTCACTGCATGATCAAAACAACTTGAAAGGCTTTTACAAATTTACAAGTCTAACCTTCTAGAATTGTGAATTAATGCTTTGATTCAATTACTTAACTTTTTTATTTCAATCAATTAAGCAAAAAATTTATTTAACAACTAGTGCCTACCCCTACTCTAGGTGCTATGAAGGGATATAAAGGATTATAGGCCACTGCTCGGTCTCCTTTTCCTGACCAATAAAAAACTGTCCTTCTTTCAATTAGACTAGGACAGATACGCATCACGCCGGGTTTCTGCTTTTGCCTAAGGAACAAAAGGAAACTCAAAGCCAAATTCACTGCTAACTCAGAGTAAGCCATCCTTTCCTTAACTTATGATCCACATACTTAGTGAGAGTTGGGGGCTGAATTGTGTTTTTCTCTGTATTTTCAGCATGCTTTGTATGGTACCTGGTAAAAACAGTAACATTTATTGAGTGCTTACTACATGACAAGCAGTGTGCTAAGCATTTTACATAAATGACTCCATTTCACCATCACAACAACCCTATTGGGGGATTCCCATAATCTCTCCTACTACAACAAATGTCTATATATGATAGGGACAGAAATGAAAGGGTGTGATAAGAGTCTCCTGATCTTTTTTAATCTTTATATTCAGGTTATCACATAAAAAGTCAGTATTTTTTAAATTTTAAGTTGGTTTTCAGTCACAACTTTCAACCAAAAGAACCTTGAATAATAGAGAAAATTGCTATTTTTTAAAAAGCAAGTATAAGACTTCCACTCCTAGCAATATGTTAGATTAAAATGCCCGGGGAAATCCTCCTGGAATAGGACACCCAAAAAATTATTGTGGAAGTGCTTTTAAAAAATCTTTTAAATGCATGGCTCAGCTTACAGCAGAGTAAAAGAAGTCCCCAGAGTCCAGGACTAAGAAAATATGAATCAAGATATTAGACTTACCAGAAACAGAGCATAAAATAAGTATGTTTAATATGCTTAAATAAATAAAAGACGATCCCAAATGAATGACAAAGAAACAAGAGTGACAGGCAAGTTTAACTTAGTATAGACATCTCACAACAATGGTGCAAGCCAGGGAACAATGGGGTATTATTTTCAAATGCCAAATGATCAACCTAGAATTACCCAACAAAACTGTCTTTTAAGAACAAGAGCAAAATAAATAAAACACAGTTCATGACAATAAATTTCTCTACAGTAATTAATACATGATAAAACTTCAGAAATGAAAAGAACCCCAGGAATATCTCTGAGATCCAAGACCACCAATCAGGAAAGAATGATGGGCAGAGAAAATGGTAAACTTGCGGATAAATGTAAATGAAAAATACTACATTTTAAAAATGTCTAATGTGTTTATTTAAAAAGGTAGAATAAAAATATTAGAGTAAAGTGGCATATAAATTGGGAAGGAAAGTGATCAGTGCTAAATCATTCTATGGTCCAGAGTTACTGATTAACTTTAGACCATGTCGAATTAAATATGTACTTTCAAAGTTACCACTGAAGATTAGAAATAAATAATGCAACTGCCAAACTAGTAGAGAGAGAAAAATGGAGTGAGAAGGGGTAGGAAAAATCTCTATCAGATCAAAAAGCAAATGAAAAAAAAGGAAAGAAAACATAGAAAAAGCATAAAATAAGGTGACACAATCACATCCTAAAGTCTCAGTAAACACAATAAATAAAAATGGACATAACTATCTAGTTAAAGCCAAAGATTACCAGTCTGGATTTTTTTATAATGACAGCACAAAATCTAACAACATGCCATTTAAAGACACACTTAAACTATAAGGACACAGAATGAATGAACAAAAGGATGGAAAAAGGCATCATGAAAATACTATCTAAAGTGAAAATGTTCTGTAGACTTAAAGTACTTAAAGTATGGATGCAAAGAAAAGATGCCACTCTGAGGACCACAAAATGGGTGTAATAAGAAATAATAAAATATCCTGCAATTTACAACCTTGTTGAGGAAGCCAAAGTATAACAGTCTAATCTCCACATCATGTGTGATTATGTTGTTATGAGAACAGACAAGCAGACAAGCAGGCTACCTCTCTGCAAAAAAAGAAATCCTAGCCAACTTCTGCCAACCCCAGTTGGACAAAAATACTTTCTTTGGCTGAATTACCGATTTAAAGCTATTTTGAGACTCTTTGCCATCCCTGCACTCAAATCCTGGTCCATGAACTCAGATACACATCTGCAATGATAGCATTAATAAGGCTAAAAGCAAGCATTCAAGAAATGCAAACACCTGAATGTCATTTACACATACTTTTCTAACCAGTGGTCTCCAATTCCTCTGCTACAGCAGAACAGCTGATGCTCACATGTGTAGTATCCCCATACATAAGCAAGGGCAAATGCAGAGGCCTGAGAGCACTGTCACTCCACGGATGTCTCCTGCTAAATACGTCACAACTGAAGTGAGAATGACATCATAGTGATTTTCTCAAGGCTTCTCTGATCTATGAAAAATAAAACTTTTTGCAGATATTGGTACATTACTAGCAACCATTTATGTGTGACACACCTTACGACTAAGATGTCATCATTAGTTTCAACTGCACTTGACCTGTTATTATCCACACTTTGTCTAATTCTGGTATTCTCCCACACCCTCAAAAGCACACAACCTTAATCTTTTGAGTAAAAAACCCATAGGCTCTAAGCCAGGAGCTTTCAACCCTAGTTACACATCAGCCTCAGCCTAGGCCCTATGCACAGAAATTCTATTTAATTGTCCTGAGGAAGAAATGCCTGATGTCCCTGGCATCAATAGTTTTTAAAGTTCTCCAAGGTCATAAACCCAGCTATCTGCCTCCTGACTTTGGCCTGCTGCCCTTGCAGAGTGAAGGTTCCCTCTCCTTACTAGGCTCAAATGAGCTGCTGTTTATGAAAGAGTCTTGCAAACCCTAGACTTATTATACTGCCACGCAATAATTCCTTGTCATCCTCGCCTCTTCCTCCTTGATTCAGTGCTGTAACAAATAGAAATAAAGCTGTGCACTAATCCACTGGCATGTGAATTTTTAGACTCACAGGAAGGCTGGGGTCTACACTGAGTCTCGAGAAATGAGATCCAACATTCTGCAGTGTGTCTCTATTGGCCTGAGCCTGGCCAAGATAGCAGACACGGTACTGAGGCTTGGAGATGCCAGGAAGAGCCGAGCCACACACTCCCTTGCTTTTCAACTCCTTGCCTCTAGTAGCACATTTATCCACTGCAGTGTAAAGACTTCAGTTAAAAACATGGGTGGGCCTATGTACATACTCATGTTTGGGTATGTTTTCACCCACATACCCATATGTACATTTTTCAAAATCTCTTTCTATTATCTGGAAAAGCCTAGAAGAAAATCAGTGAAACATTAACAGTGACTCTCCCAGAGGTGGTAGGGATAAGGATGATTTTTTTCTTTTTTCCTTTCTTGCTTCTCTGTATTTTCTAAGACTTCTAGAGGGAGCATGTCTTGCTTCCACAATTTAAATAAATAGATAAATAATTGCCTCCACTCCAGAATGGAGGAGGGAATAAAAGATCTGGGTCCTAGATTAGCTCTGTCCCAGATCTTCCGGTTACCTTGGAGACTGCTTTTGCTTTTCCTCTCTGGTTAGACTGGATGCTCCCTCAAGGCCTTCCCTCTCCTCACATTCAAGAATCTTAACCACCCCTCTGCTTATTAATGAGAGTCCCAAGGGAACCCACCACCACCCGGGCTGGGAACTCACAATCTAGATGCCATTCCAGTTTCTCAGGCTAAATTTCAAGACCCTAATTAGGTCCTCACCAGGGTATGAACTATAATAAAAGTAAGTCCCAAGTCTCCCTACTGGCCACATGGAAGTTATGTCTTAAGGCCTGGCCCGGCTGAGACTGAAACAGATCAGGCTCACTTTTCTCTCCAGCTCGGTAAGAATAACCCAACAGGCTCTGGCGTAGGAATTAAAGGCAGGAGGTATTCACACTCCTTATCATGCTGGGTTTACATTAACTTCCCAGGGTCAAGGCAATGGCAGAATCTAGAAACAAATCCTCATAGGACACAGGAAAGCTGGGTCACCATGGACACCGGATAACAGAAGGCTCATGGGTTATCTGCAGGGTTTCAAAGAGATTTCACAACTGGGACAATAAAGGAAGTTCAAACCTAGAAAAATGTTAAACTTTACAGCCAATCACCGATGGCTCTTAAAAGCAACCTCCTGAGTAAATTGCTGGCAGCAGGGAAGGAAGGAAACAGCAAGAATTGAGTACATAGTGTGTTCCCAGGTGCTAGATGATTAATTCCTAAATTGTGCTATTTTTACTCATTCCCTATTTTGCAGAAAGGGAAAATGAGGCTAAGAGAAGACAGATAGCTTGCCCAAGATCTCAGAGCTGATTGGCAAAAGAGCTGGGATTTTACCTCACAGGAGATGGGTTTGAACCCTGGGTCTGACCTGAAAGCTTCCCCTAGTCTTGCCTGGGTGAGCACCCTTGAAGTTTCAAAGAGATAAACATGCATTCAACTATTTGGTTGAAGTGGAGCAACTGCTACCAACCCCAACAAAGTTCTACCCAAAAACTTTAACAGTGAAAAATGCCTCAGGCAAAAGCATGAGCCTAGGCCTCCTAAAATATAGGGAGGACAGTCAAGTGCAAGTCCATCCAAACTTTGCCCACAGGGACAGAGGTGGGGCCACCTCATGCCGGCATTCACACTCTCTTTGGCCACAGATCCAGAGCAGGTCTCTAAATACTGAAATCAGCAGTACCAAGGGGGCCAGAAGGGTCACATCACCCAAAGCCAGTTCCCTCACTTTCTGGCTGTAGGGCCTTGGACGAGTCACCTGTCCCCTCTGAGCCTATTTCCACACCTGTAAAGCAGGAATGACAAGGATCAGGGAGGGATGGCAGGTGCTGGTGCACACAGCAGGCTACCACGCATGGGCTCCTCCTGGGACCCTTCTCTGAGTCCTCTTTTCCTCAAAGTCTTTAAGGAGTGGTATCAAGCAGGGACCTGGAAGATTCCCACCAATGGAGGAAAGGATAGAAAGGTTAGCAGGGCTGGTCACTTGCCAGCTTGTTCCCTTCTCACCTAGGCAGTGGCACACCTGCCCAGCCAGCAACTCCAATAGGAATTAGGCCTCTGATCCATCTCTGGGGCATGTGTTACCTGCAGGAGTGAGGGTGCTGGACCACAGCCGGATGGGGCCCTTTCCACCAGCAACTCCTTCCTGCCTGGGTCAGGAACCCAACTGCCAGTGAAAGGAAGGGGTCTTGCTGCCTGACTTGGCCTTCCAGCCTGCTACCTCTGACTTCACCGGGAGTGCACCCTCCCCACCCGTCCTGGTCCATTCATGAGCCCTGGTCACACAGGTAAATAAATGGAGCCTGTCTTGAACACCGAGTCCTTAGCTTTGCCAAGGCAGGGCGATATGGGCAGAGCTGGACCAGGGGTGCTGTGGGACCCAGGAAAGTCACCCAAGTAGGGTCTCATCTCATATCCATCTGCTTAACTCCGGTCCCCACACTTTCAGGGCCGAATGACAGACCTTCTCAAGAGGGTAAGAAGCCAAGAGACCACCTAATAATATATCTGTCAATTTCTGAGCATTTTTTCTATTTCATTTTTTAAAACTTTCTTGCGCCCACCCCCACCCCCATATGAACCTTTACACTGCCCACTTTCGAGAAAGACTCACTAAGACGCGCGATCCCCGGTATTTCGAGGCCCCAGTTGCACCCCACCACTACACAGACGCAGAACCTGAAGCCCGAGACTCGCGGGCAATGCTCCCTCGCCACCTGCGGACTCACAGCGGGTTCCAGCGCTCGGGCAGGCGCCGGTGCAGCGAGATGCGGTCGCTGAGGTAGATGTTGATCTGGTGCAGCTTCACGCTCTCCTCCTGCAGCCGCAGCTCCTCGCCCTGCAGCTGCAGCCGCACCGCCTCGCCCCGTGCGCCCAGAGCGTCCTGGGGCACCGGAGGCCGCGGCAGGACCGGGTCGCGCCGACCGAAGCGCGGAGAGCGCGGAGGTCCCGGCTCGGACGCCCTGGCTCCGCGCCGCGCCCGCAACACAGAGCCCAGGCCAGCCAGCGCCAGCAACGCCAGCAGCACCAGCAGCGCTTCCCGGCCGCGCCGCAGCCCCTGCGGGCAGCGCCTTCGCGCCGCGCGCCCCCACATGCGCCCCCCACCAATGGCCAGCGCTCCCCGCGCCCGGAGGAGGCGGCGTAGACCCGGACGCGGATCCCGGAACCAGAGCCGCGCCGCCCCGCCCCCGGCCCGCCCCACCTGCGCCCCGCCCCCTTCCCGCCTAGCCCGCCCGCAGGAGTGCAGCCCCCGAACCCCCGAGGGTGGCAGATTTTTACTGGGTCCCCACGTGGCCCTGCTGAGATTTGCACCTTCTTCACTGGGCTGTGTGCGTTATTACAAGCCCTCAGCTCTGCGTCTGGCACATCGTGAGCGCTCAGTAAATGTTGGTTGAGTCCGCCCTGCAGAATGCTACTAATTTTATTGCTGTTATCTCATCGGATGCTAACACCGTCCAGTAAGAGGGGTAGTAGGATGATCAATTCCACTTTAGAGATACGGTGACTGAGGCACAAAGAATCCAGCGACACCAAGCTGTCACACTGAGGCCTACAGGCCTGACCTAAGACATACCGTTTGGATCCCTTAAATAACAAACCCTCCTCCTGCTCCCTATTAGTCAATATCCCTGTTTCTTATTCCTCACTTTACAGACTCCTCCAAGAAACTGATCAAAGGAATGAACTATCCCTTCAGAAAAACGCAGGCATACACACCCATGACATGAGCACCCACATCCCAGGCCATCCATTCATGTTAAGTACCTGTGACCTTGGCTAGGGGCTTCTTTTGGTGGGCCTCCCGGAACCACTGGGGTGCTGGAAATAGTTACCTGGGTCAAGACTCGAGTGAGGCCATGCAGCTTTCTCCAAGGCAGAAAATTGAAGGCTAGGCCCGAAAAACTCAGCAATCAAAAATAAACACTATTTTAAAAAATTAAAAGGAATGCAAAATATCCATGATGAACATGATAAATAAAATATCAAAATTTTAAACAAAGGTGGAATCTGACCCTGTGGTTGCAGAGCTCACCTCACTGTCTTCATTTACCCTAATACCAGCCTTAATTCTATATTTCACTTTTGGTGGGGATAACATGGCTGTATACATATGTAATATTCAAGTTCTTTAAAAAAATATGCACTTAACTTATGAAAGTTCTATCTCAATTAAAAACTCAGAAAATAAAAAATAAAAAAGACTGAACTAAGAGAAACAACAAAAAAGGAGAACCCCTGGCCTCCAGGACAAGCGCTGAAGTCTTCATCTTGATAGGAGAGGCCCTCATATGGTGACTTCAAACTCTTCAAGGCCTATCTCTAGCCACTGGGGTCGGGGTAGGCAGGTCTTTGCCATTCTAGGCCTTTGCACATGCTGTTTCCCCTGCTTAAAATGCTCTTCCCCACCTGGCAAATCACTACTTATCCTTCAAGGCCCTGCCAAAGCCAGCTCCACAGCCTTTTTAGGCAAATGCATTTCAAGACTGCATCAGCCATTTGTGTATTAGTCAGAACTCCACCAGAGAAACAGAACCAGTAGATGTACTCAGAGATTTATTGCAAGGAACTGACTTACACAACTGTGGGGACTGGTTAAGTGAGTCCAAAATCTGTAGGGCAGACCATCAGGAAGGGCAGGCTGAAACTCTCTGGCATGAGCTGAAGCCTGAGCTGAAGCTACAGTCCAGAGGCAGAATTTCTTATTTTTTAAGGTAATCTCAGCTCTATAATTAGGGCCTTTCAACTGATTGAATCAGGCCCACCTAGATAATCTCCACTGCTTAAAGTCAACATTAATCATACCTACAAAATACCAACATCTAGATTAGTGTTTGAATAACAGGGGATTAAACTAAGCCAGTTGCCTATCAGAGAGATCATGTCTTTTAGTTTCCTAAGGCTGCCAAAACAAAGTGCCATAGATTGAGTGGCTGAAAACAACAAAAATATACCCACTAACAGTTCTGGAGTCTGGAAGGCCAAAATCAATTAGTCCTGTCAGCAAGGCCATGCTCTTGCTGAAGGATCTGTTCCATGCTTTTCTCCTGGTTTGTGGTGTTGCTGGCAATTCTTATCATTCTGTGGCTTGTAGATGCATCACTCCCATCTCTGCCTCCATCATCATATGGCATTCTTCTGGTGTGTGTCTCTCTTACAGTCTCCTTCTAAGGATACCAGTCATATTGGATTGGGGCCCACTCTCATGACCTCATGTTAACTTGATTACGTCTGTAAAGACCCTATTTCCAAATAAAGTCATATTCATAGCCCCAAGAATTAGGACATCAACATATCTTTGGGAGGGGACACAATTCATTCCATAACACCATTACACTTTGTTACAGTGCTTGGCACATTGGATCATGCTCAATTCATCCCAGGCCTTGTAACAAAAAGAACATAAAGGATTTTTAAGAGTACAAGATGTGGTCACTGTATAATCAATCCCAGAGCTTGGTATAGCAACAGACATGCAGTAAATGCTCAATGAATGGTTGACTTTGTGTCCCATGCACACTTCCAGGAGTGTCTGTTTGAATTTACTGGGAAGGTATCTGACAGAGGGCACAACTTGGCTAAGTGCAGGGGGAAGTTACTCCCAAAATGTAACAAACATGAATTCTGCAGGTCTTTTGCTAGAAGAGCCTCAATGGTAATCAATCTGGGAGTTTTCAAAATCTGCTCCCAGAAACCCCAGGGGACCATCCAGGAAATCAGGAGACTTCCTGGGTGGGGTTCCAGTTCTGTTCTCTGAAACCAGAGCATTGACACATTTATCTGATTAATGCTTTGAACTTCAGTCTTAGATTACAGCACCCTCCACCCTAATAACCAGAGGAATTGGTAACAGGCCCAAAGGGAGTGTGCTGTCTAGGGCCACAGCTGGTCAGTGGCAGAACAGGAAGTAGAAAGGTATCCAAAGGTGTGGCAGAAACTGTTGGATGTCTGCCAATATCCCTTCTCTTCTTAACAGTAGCGCCTTTGATTTTTTATGCTGGTTTCTCTGGGCCTTTGGTCTTCAAAAACACAGACTGGATTTCCCAGCCTCTCTTGCAGCTAGGCAAGGCTGCATGACTAAGTGTGAAGCCAATTGACTCTAAGTGGTGGTGTCAGATAGAGTTTCTGGGTACTGTCCTTAAAGGAAACTTCCTTGCCTTTCTTTCTTCCTGCTGGCTGGTTTGTGGATACAGAGACTGAAGCTCAAGCAGCCACCTTTGGTCATGAGGCAAGAGTCATGTACTGCAAATGGTGAAACAACATGGCAGGAGCCCGGGGCCCCCACACTGTGGACACTGAACCCATCCTGATGGCCTCCTTCTGGATTTTTTATGTGAAAGAGAAATAAACTTCTCACTAACTTAAGCTACTCTTGCTATGTGTTTTCTGTCCTGTATAGCCAAACCTAGTCCTCTGTAATATGGAGGATTAATTTCAAGAGAATTCCCCCCAAATCTGGCTCTGATAGCACGGTGGTTTTAAAACAAATGTTTGATACTCCCTTGCCTTGAATCAGGGCAGACTTGTAACTGCTTCAACCAATAGATTATGGTAGAAGAGATGCCCATGACCTCTCAGGCTAGGTGTAAGAGGTCAAATCTTCCACTCTGTTCATAGGGTCACTGTCCATGAGGCCTTGAGTTGCCAGGGAAGAAACCTGACAATTGTGATACCATAGTGCTGGGGAAGCCACGGGTAGACATAGACACTCCAGTCATTAGTGCCAGCTGAGTCCAGCCTTCAGCCAGCCCAGACAGCTCAGGCATCAGGCAGGTGAGTGAAGTGGCTCCTCCCAGAACATATGAGTCACTACAGACATTCAAGTTATCTCATCTGTGGTCACAGATATCAAAGGAATGGATTTCAGGTTCTTGAGAAAGAAGATAGTCCTGAGTTGCAGAAGATACATATACATCTCGAAGGGACAGAGAAAGGATTTACAACAGAAAAGAGAAGTGCCCTTTTTAAATTCCTGACCCACAGAATCCGTTAACATAGTAAGATGGTGGTGGTTGTACACCATAACATTTGTGGATGGTTTGTTATGCAATGATAGATAACTAAAACAAATGGATGATTTTAGTCAAAATTTTCTAAGTCAGGAAATATTTATTGAGCACCTTTTATGTGCCAGGCACCATGCCAGGGTCTATAATGAGCAAGTGTCAAAGCTAAATAATGCTGGACAGTAGTTAAAGTGATAAGGATAGATTTTAATCAGTAATAAGCTATTGCAATAGGGAAGCAGGCCCGTGTGAACTGATTCAACTTGATTTGCACAGAAGTGACTGGGCATATTGAGTAGAGTCAGGGAAGTGAAAAATTACAAAAGACTGGTCAGTGTAAATGCTGATTAGGCCAGCTGTGTCTATTCTATCGTCCCACAGAGACTGGGAGGCAGAGGCCCTAGTCTTCCTGATGATTACATTTTAAAGGAATGGATTTCAGGTTCTTGAGAAAGAAGATATTCTGAGTTGCAGAAGATACATATACATCTCGAAGGGACAGAGGAAGGATTTACAGCTGTAGGCCCTTTTTAGTACATACTCTAAGAAAGGGTGGTTGGGGGACTATGGTTAGGTGTTAACTAAAATTAAAGAGCAAAGTCTTTGGGTAGCCTTGAGTTTTCTCAGGCAGGCACTCAAGAGGTACCAGGGTCAGCCTAGGAATGCAGTCTTCAGCTGCTAGAAACTATGTTAGTGTTTAAGTCTTTTACTACGAAGGGAGGTGGGTGGGTGAAATCATCTATGTTGAGGATCTGTAGTTTTTATAGGCCAAGTTGAGCCAGTTGAGAAAAGGGCTCAGGGAAGCTTGGATAGAGGTTGGTCAAGGAGAGACTCCTTGTCACAAGACAGGTATTTTTGACATCATGGTGCTGAGTGTAATGGAATAGACAGATGTTAAGAAGATAATTTATTGGAGTCATGATAAATGTTTTTAAGGTGAATTAGAGGGTGCTAAGAGAGCATATAATAGAAGAATGGTCTAGTTTAGGGGTTTAGAAAGGCTTTTCTGAGGAAGTAATGTTTACACAGATATCTGAATGTTGAAGTGGTATCAGAGATCTGAAATGGCATTTTAGGTTAATCTGGTAGTCCCTCTGCTGGTGCCCAGCTCAGGGAAACGAATAGCTTTGTACCTATGTAAGGA